CGATTTATCCAACCGAATAACATATCGACTAATAGTCGAATTTGGAATATTCTGACTGAATTACTTGAGCTTGAACATGAACCTAACTATTTATTAACAAAGGCTAGCTTAAAACTAAAAGCTAGTATTTTCCTTTATTAATAAAACTCGGGGTGTTACAAATAATAAGTTGAAAAAGTGTTTCATTTTTGTGAAGTTGAAAAAGTGTTTCATTTTTGTGCATAGAACCTGGAATACTTGAAAAACACTTCTTTAGTCAGTAAAAATCATCATTCTAAAACACTAGAACACTAGTCTTTATTTATTTATTTATACTGAATAATTGCTCAAAATCTCTCTTTTAAGCTATTTTATATTAAACAAGCTCTAGACCACAAATCGAAACATTATTATGGCCTCTTTTGCTCGAGTTTTGTCACTGATGGTTTTATTGAGGCATTCTTCTCTAATTTTCTATACTCATGCCATGTTTTGTGGTGTCATAGGTGGAATTTTGCTTCTCGAGGCAAATAGGATTCTAAGAGCTGGAGGATACTTTGTATTTGCAGTATCGTCTGTTGATAAAGGTGAAAACAAACTAGTTGAAGATATGTTTTTACTGTGGAATTCCCATGTAAAATATGTATTTGCTTCTCGAGGCATTCTTATCTTTTTTTCTTACTTTTTCTTCGAACAGAGATGGAGAATCTGACGAGCAAGCTTTGTTGGGAGTTAGTTAATAAGAAAGGTGACATTACTATTTGGCAGAAGCCTCTAAATAACAGCAGCTATCAAAACCGTGATCGTTATGTACAACCTTCTCTATGCGACCCTGAAGACAATCCAGATGATATATGGTACTGTACTTTATTCCCCCTTTTTTTTTTTTTTTTTCAAACGATTCATAGCGAATGGAAAGTTCAAAAGTATTTAATATTTATTTTTAATCACAGGAATGCAACTTTGAAGGAATGCATCACAAGATTACCCGAAAACGGTTATGGAGCTAACATTACCAGCTGGCCCGCTCGCCTGCACAGTCCACCGGACAGGCTTTTTACCATACCAATGGATGCTTACAAATCGAGGAAAGATTTGTACAAAGCGGACTCGAAGTATTGGAATGATATCGTGAGTGGTTACATTAATGCTTTTCATATCCACAAGATGAACGTACGAAACGTGATGGACATGAGAGCTAGATATGGAGGGTAATTTAGTTAAATTATTATCACATTAAACATCCGATTTTTACTTTCTGTTGATATGTTTATAAAGATCTTGATTTTCAATTTTTTTTCTTCATTTTTTTTATTTTGGAAAAATGGTAGGTTTGCAGCAGCTTTAGCAGATTTTCAGGTTGATAGCTGGGTTATGAATGTTGTTCCTGTTAGTGGTCCAAACACACTGCCTGTGATATTCGATCGTGGTTTAATAGGCGTGATGCACGATTGGTATGAGCCGTTTTTATCATGTGAAGATAAAAATGGTTGAAAATCAGAAATTTCATAGTGCTTGCAAATTAAGACACAAGATCTTCATTTTATTAAAAATACTTGAATTTTGTGTTGTGATTCAAATTCAAGCCTATCAGATTTTGAAACACCATTCACTTACTACCCTTTTTTTTATTGAAACTGAAAGTGAAAGTTACTATGCATAAGCTTCAAGCTTTTACAGTTACAAACTTACAATTCAAATGACTGTTCTTCTGTTCTTTCTTTAGGTGTGAACCATTCAACACATATCCAAGAACATATGACCTGCTGAATGCTGCTGGCCTTTTCTCGGCAGAACAGAAAAGGTACGAAAAAATAAAAAAAAAAAAAAAAAAAAA